TAATTTGGTCCGGAACCCGATCAGGCTTTAGTTCTTCGTCGGCCACATGCCCGAATTCACCAGGGGCTGCAGGAGTGAAAGGCAAACTATACGCCCATGCAGCAACGCGCCTCTGGTCGTCTGAGCCATGCGCACGCGCATAGCGCCCCCACTCGTGCGGCGCTTGAACATAAGTCGCTAAGTGGTCCCTATTGACTTAACTTAGATCCACTGTGCAAGGTAAAGAAATAGCAGACGTACCACGATGGGAGCATCAAGCCCTTGTGCTCGATAGTCCAGAACCGAGGTTTGCGATCGCCCTGGCCGAGACGATGTCGTGGAACGAGCAAGGGAATGGTTTCAGAGGGTTCTGGCGAGGAGGCTGGAGCGGGAGATAGAGGTCGTGAGGCTCTTGGTGATGACGACGCGACAGAGCTGGCGAATCCCAAAGAGTCGAAAGAGCTGTCCGTGATATTCGAGTCGAAAGAGCTGTCAGTATTTTCCAGCGAATTGTCAGCGCTCAAGTCGGCGCCTCGCGCTACTGGTAGACGCGTTGGCAGACTGGGCAGCAGCAACTCGCTTCAATTGCTCCACGAGCTCGCCGTCAGAAACCGGAAATGGGTTCGGCGAAAACAGGATAGATGACTTCTCGCGAGTGGGAGAAGCACTGGGGGATGGCCATGGACTGTTGACAGGAGGAGGCTGAGGAGTTTGCCCAACAGCAAACATAACCGCCGGGTCTGTTATTGCATGCTCTTCGTGCTCATAGGCGCACACAGAGGCCCACAGCTGCAAAGCTTCTGCCCAAGTCCAGCAAAGGTGCCAGGTGTAGCCATCATGTCCATTCGCAGCGCGTGCAGAGTCGCTAAAGAGGTGGTAAGCTCTTGGCATGACGAGTAGATTTCAAAATGACCGTACGGGCTTGTATAAACGCCAGGTTTACATCCTTTGGTCACCACAGCCAACACGCCATTGCTAAAAGGATCCTCGATTCGATAAGCGCGACCGGGGTCGGGATAGAACGGCGGTTGGCAGAGTAGATAGACGGGACATTGGCCATTCATCACGAGTGCGCAGATGAGGGGGTTAACGAGAAGCAAAGGGAAGGCCGAACAGGCTAATACTTAGTCGATGGTGGATGAGCGGCATTAGACTTCATCAGATGACGTCAGCGTCAATGATTCTCAGAAGTTAAGTGAAAATTCTTTTTTTTTTACGGGGCAGCAGCGATTCAAGCAGTTAGATTCAAGTAGTTACGGGCAGATACGTTACGGGCAGAGGCAGATACAAGACAGGTACGCTACACAGATGTTTTGAGAGTCCTTGGGCACACAGACGATACAAGACAAGCACAACAAGCGGTACTAATAGCAGCAGACAAACAAGCAAACCAAACAAGCAAACCAGACGGGAACACTTTTGTTCGCTCTATGCACGGGTGCCGGCACTGGTGGTGGCCTGGGCACTGGCCAGGGCAGGGGCGGGGCGTGTGGGTGCAGCCGTCGACATGCTCGCAGGAGCATTTTGAGACCAGGAGAGCGACCCAATCATGGATGGGTTGGGCGACGCGTGCCAAAGCTTCTGAGCCTCCTCGGTCGACAAGAAGTAAGGACGACCCTTCGTTGTCCTACTCATGGCGGACAATTGTCTTGGGAAACTATTTAGATAGAGAATTCAACGAAATACACCAGAACTCACCGCACGAGAATATCCTGGACCGCTGGGAGGTCCTCCTTCGTCATAGTCGTCACTGGCAAGTCCGCGTTCAAGATGCCGCTGTTTTGCGAGCGAGGGTGCTTGATGACGACCACCGTGCCGCGGCAGACAGGCAACGGGCAGCGAATACCGGCGAAGATGTGCTGGATTGCTTTATTTTCGGGGCGAATACGGTCCATCGGGGAGTGAGGACAGTCCAGAAGGATGGTGAAACAGTGGTCCGGGAGAGAGGGATGGGTGTCCACCATTTTGGGGCATTGGGAGCAAGGAACCGGATTGATTTCGAAGTAGTCGAGGTCCAAGGCCGATGCGCGCAGGGTCGGCGAGTAACGGTCGAGGTCGAAGTCGTACAAGCCATAGATGCCCGCCATCCAAGGATAAACCGCTATCTTCACCGTGATTGGGGACGGCTGGGCAGAATGATATGGCTGTTAGTTGTGATGAGTCATAAAGTGCCTGCATCGCTGGCAGAAACGCACTCGAGCAATTCTGGGCTCCATCAACGACTCCGAGGACGATGAGCCCGTCCCGGGAGGCATAGTCGTCAGTGTTGGACGACGACGTGCCGGAACCGGTGGCGACTTCGAGGGACATGGGAGCGGACGAGAAAAGAGTGGGAGGAAAGAGAGGCAGGTGGAAGTAGAAGGAAAGAGAAACGAGTAGAAGAAAAAAAGTCCCCGAGCCATGACTCTTGAAAATAAGCTCAAGAAGCGCGTAACGGTCACGACGGTCACGCGCTTCTTCCACGCGCTTCTTCTTCTCAGCTTTCGCACTACGGTCCACGGCCTCAAGATTCCCTTCAGCTATTGAGCATGACCGCTCTAAAACCACGGAGCGGTCGAGCTCTTACTATTCGGCACCCTGCTTCTTGCCTTCTCCCCCGCCTCTCTGCCATGGACGCCAAAGACGTTCCCAAAGACGTTCATAACTCAGCGCCCTCAACTCCTCGCAAACCTGTGTCTGTCTACGTGCCGCACAAGCCAAACAAACCGCTCTCCAAGGCACACAACGGTCAATACTTGGCTTGTGCGCCACGACGCATCTGACCTCTCCTCAGCGATTCTTGAAACCTCCCCATCGAAGCCTCCGTCCAAAACAATTGCCCCCATCGAATTCACTCTACCAGAAAAGCCTGCTCATTCTGGTGAGATGTCGCCGGCCATACAAGCATACTAATACAAGGCTGATTCTATCCCGTAGTGGAGAAGCCGGCATCAACACTCAAGTCGACAACGAAGCCCTACACGCGTCCGCGTCCCAGGTTTCTCTCAAATACTGGTAAGTTGTGAACCTCAGCTGCGAACTGTACCTTACGCCTTGCTAGAAAAAGGCCGTCTTCGTACACAACAAATCGAGAAGGACACCGCCCTCCGCGCTCGCCTCCAGGAAGAACTGCAGAGTTTGATGCTTTCCATCGATCAAGTCCGCCTGCTCGCCGACGCATTTGGATACGAACAGCAGGAGCAAACTGTTAGCGCACGATACCACCAACAACTTATGCGCGCATACGAGGCCAGCGTTGCTCGCTGCGACGGGTTGGGGTTGGAAGATACTGGATCAGGGCAGGCAGCAGAGCAGCGAAAGGCGTATAATCGGGCCATTGACCAGCGTACAAAGGCCGGTAAGGCGTGGTGGGCACTTTGGCAGGTTGAGCGCGCGATGCTTCGTAAATCTGGCGAAATCGAGCGTCAAATCAAGATTTTGGAAGTAGTTTAACATATCAGAGCCTGTTTTACTGTCTTGTCAATGTACCTGGTTGTGAATTCTTGGTATAACGCTGGCTGAACCAAGAAATGGCTCTGTAGCTCTTCTGTCATCTTGCGCTACTCGGTTAGTAACGCGTGACTGAAGCTCTCGGAAAAACAAAACGGCCTGTCATTAAATCGCCACTGGGACTATGACGGAAATAAATGTACTGTTGAAGACAGTTTCGATGCCCGGTTTGCCTCGTTCAGTTTTTTTCACGGGGAATGATGTCGATGGGTGTCGATAGACTGACCTAAATGTAGGCTAATGAAACAGTCGGCAGTACTGAACCCAGGTTAAAGACGGAATTTACAGTCAACTGTAGTAAACGAATAGGTACTAGACATCTTGGTAAGTGCACACTATTAGGAACGGGCATGCAACAGGACTCTCAGGCTATATTCAGTGGACCGCAAGACTATGTACAACCTCTTTCTTAGACGAATCTTTTATTCCGAGAGCTTCAGATCAATGATGTCACGAAGCTCACGAAGCTCATCACACCTCTTGTCCTTCTGCATCCATCTCAACCCTTACCGCGCGCATCTTTCACCACTGTAGCCCAATGCCACAACCACTGAAATACCAAACGGAGGATGAGCGGCGCGCGGCGGTGCGAGAATCTCGCAGAAAATATGAGAATGGCGCCAGGTATGTACCTCCTCTGGCGCATCTTAGTATCATTCGCTGACTGCCCTGTGGTTCAGAGCATCCAGTGTACGAGCAGAATATCAACGCCGACAAAAGCAAAGAAGAAAGCAAAAACCGTTAACTCTGGAAGATTTACCACCTTTGCCCAGCGAGCTGGTGCGGCAGGCTACTTTCACCTTACCCGACGACGACGACGAATGGTTTCGCCGGGGAAGGAATGGCAACATAACTGGGCTCTTCCCTTATCAATTAACTCCACCATACGATCTCTGCGACTTCCAAAATGCGCCGCCGCGACCATTCGACAATATCTTGCAACTGGTTAACGCTATCCATGGTTACCAAGTTCGGGGAGAGGAGGAACTGGAGGAGGAGTACGGGCACTGGGCTCGCAACTGGTCTCGAAAGGACTCTCTCCAGCAATTCCAGAGGGAATTGGAGTCAGCTACGAAATCTTGGGCTCTCTTAGTCGTCCTCCAGAGCGACATCGACATCGACGGAGAAGCTGCCATGCTGGTGAAGGGGCACCAGGCACAATCAGAATATAAGGAAATGCTCAAAGTGCATTTGGGGTGGGCTGCGCGCCCGCTGTTTCCGCCTTCGAACTCTGGCTTTTCTGTAGCCTGGGTATTAGGGTTTGGCCCTTCGTTCCGCACCCTTGCCTTGTCCTTAGATATGTCTGGATAGAGCGGGCTGGCGTGGTTACGCCGCGGTGTGGTGTAACATGAAGCTTGACAACCAGTAGCTAGTAGCTGTTTCTTTTGTGGTAGCTGCTATTTATGATCTACTTCTGACTTCTTGCTCACTAGAGTCCTATCGGCCGAAGCTCGTCTGATTTCCATCACGGATCGATGATTTGATGGCTTGATTGTTTGGTCACTTTGCTGTCACATCACCTTTGCCTGCCCATGTCCTCATCGTCTCAAAAAAGCCGCAAACGTCGTGCAACGGGCGCCCCTGTGCTGGTTCGGCACCACATCATGCCAGTGGAGGAGCTCATTGGCGCTCCACCAGACGCGCCCTTGACCACCTCGCTACATCGTGTCACCAGCGACAATCGACGTGTCAATACCGAGACTATTGTCGTCGAGCCTCCTTCACCAGTCAAACGAGCGCGCCTTGAACATCTGCACCGTCAACAGGCAACTGTCAATCTCATGCCCACCGAGGACCCAGAGAGATACGAGATGGGTTTGGAAGCCGAGGAAGACGAAAACGAGATGGAGACCAACCCCAATCGACATAGCCAGCCTGCTGTATGTATATTCTCTCATTTACGCTCTAGCCACTCTAATAGTGCCTCAGGACCCCGCAATGGACCTATGGATGCGACAATTTCGGGACCCATTTCTCCATTCTCTTCTATGGCGCGACGGAAGAGGCAAGGAAGGAGAGATATGCGCGGCGTGTGGGGACAGCACCCGCGCCGCCATATATCGCTGTTCTTCTTGTTTCGGTGGTGCTATGTGGTGTCAAGGCTGTTGCGTAGCCGCTCATCGTGCTAACCCCCTTCACTTTATCGAGGTGAGTAGTGAATTGAATCTCGAATACTCTACTGACTAGATTGTCACAGAAATGGACCGGCGTATACTTTTCGAGGACTACTCTTGGTTCCATTGGCCTACGAGTCCAACTCGCCCATCCACCCCATGAAATCTGCGAGCGCCCAATCCCAGGACGAAGCGACTTCGTCGTCTTAGCAGCTAATGGCATACACGAAGTTACCATAGACTTCTGTGGCTGCATGGGTCACGATGCCCATCACGTTCAACTGTTGAAGGCCGGCTGGTACCCAGCGACGACGGAGTTTCCGCGAACTGCTGCTACCTTCTCCTGCTTGGACAAATTTCATTATCTTTCCTTGCATGGGAAAACAACGACATACGACTTCTACTCTGCACTCGAGTCTTGGACCGACGGGACCGGTATCAAGCCCCCTGATCGATACTCGGTTTTCATGCGAATCTCCTGCCAATACCGTCATCTTCTGTTGCTCAAACGAAAGGGCCGTGGTCACGACCGCTTCGGTGTCTTGGGCACTGCACCAGGAGAACTTGCCACTCGTTGTCCGGCCTGTCCACGGCCTGGAGTTAACTTGCCCGACGGATGGGAGAATGCGCCTCCCGAAGATCGGTAATTATCTCCTGTCCTCAAGAGTCGGCCAATTAAGCAAGTTGTTAATAAGGTGTCTCTATATCATGTTCATCGCCATGGACGCTTGTTTCCGCCTGAAACGTCGGTCAATCTCCAACGAGTTACGCGATCCGGGTCTAGGAACTGGGTGGGCCTACATGGTCGAATGGGAACCATATCGGGCTCATTTATTAACCATAACGGATGAACAAGAGGTGCGTGAAGCTAGAAATTGCTGGCTTTGACTGACCTTGATTGTAGATGAGTACCTGTAGTGGTCTGGCCGCCCTAGATCATGCCAACTCCAAATTCTCTCGTGGTTACAGTGTAACCGGCGTCGGCATGGGTGTTTGCGCCAGACATGAGTTTGTCTTACCTAACGGGGTCGGAGATTTACAGGCTGGTGAGCGGTAGGTGAAATAAACCCCAGTCGAAGTAGATTATTAACGAAGCCCAGGTACGTTCGCTTCTTTCATGCGGCATATCGACGCCCGTTTATGGAAGATCCTCTCATACGACATCGTTTGTCAATGGATCAAGAAACTGCTCGAGCGACTGGCCAAGCTTCCCCCGCTAGTTCGTCTTCGTCTCGCCCTGAGTTTGATTCGTTTCGCTATTCCCAAGATGCACATCAAAGGCCATCTTGTCTTGTGCCAAATCTTATTTTCGTTGTTACTCATCCTCGGCTCGGGCATGACGGATGGCGAGGGAATCGAGCGACCCTGGAGCATGATTGGCGGAATTGCGGGCAGCACACGGGTGTGTGGTCCAGGTGCGCGTTGGGATCAGCTGGATGACCATTGGTCATTTTGGAACTGGATGAAGCTGCTACGTCTTGGTGGGTATCCTACTAGTGCCTGGTTATATGATACTGACTATCAATCTCTCAGCGACCTTGTTGCGGCAGAGGACCGACAACGCAAAACGAAGAGCTGGCGAAACAAGAACTTGACTTTGAACAGCTGTCGATTGGCCACGCAGATCGCGTACTGGATTGGAAAAAACAGGTGGATGAATTCGAGGCCGATAACACGAAACCTAATCCCTACGAGTACAAGTCCGACGGTAAGTTAACCTTGCTATGAAATTCCGTGCGCCGATTGACTTGACTTAGGTTTGACTGAAGCTGCGGTCCGCAAGATGCTTGAAGAACAAGAAGCCGAAGAAGAGAAGTCCGGGGCACTCCCCATTCACGACGTCTCCCCTACCGAATTCATAGTTGCCTTGTTAGATGCGGAGGGCGACCAGTACGTTTTTTTTGACTGATGTTATATATATCTCATGTTATTGACAGGCGTCGCATCCGGGGACTGGTCGAGGTCGGCAAGAAACGCTCCTCAACTGGAGTTAGCCTTCGTCGACAAAGGCGCAAGCTAAATCGTACCATCAAGCGTTTGCGGACTCTCCAAGCGACATATATGCCTGCTGCTCTCCGGCGTCTGGAAGCTCTTCACTTGCCTCAAGATACTCTAGCAGAGCGCGTGCCCCTCATTCCCCCATCCGCCCTTACTCCCGTCGAGCGCGATAATGGTGGCTGTCGAGACGGACTGGTCGCCATCGAGCGGGCTTTGCGAGATGCTCAGTGTCGCTCGTCGTTAACGACCCTGCAACTTCAACTACATGTCAAATCACGACTTTTGACTTACAAGAAGAACAACTTCGCGCGCGCAAGCGATGAATACGCACTCCAGATCCTTGGTAGACCAGAATGAGCGGAAAATCTTGCTATATTCCGAAAAATACCAGCACGCTTGGCGAGCATTGGTAGCGCTTGATGGAGACGACGACTTGATCTCGTGGCGGAAGCTCGAGAAGAAGGATATCAGATGTATGGAGGATGCCGAGGAGGTGTCGCGAGCGGAGCGGAAACGCGAAAGGGCAGAACGGAATGAACGCTCCCAAGACTTGGCTCTAGCGCGAGCTGGGCTTGTTGCTCTGCCAAGGGGTCCTGTACCTATGGAGACCAGCGATGCGGAAGAAGACGAAACAGAGGCTCAACTACCTGCCACACGGTCAGATCGACAACATGCGGCTCGGGAAGCCAATGCTCTGTTCAAACACGGAGAAAGTCGGCGTCAGGTATCATGGATCTGGAGCAATGTCCACAATTCTGCCGAAGGAGTTGAAGAAGGTGTGTGGCGTGGCACAAATTCCGTTTTAAGCACTAATTGCTAATTTCAGCTCTGCGCATCGAATGGGCCAAGTCCTATGCGCGAACTCGTCGTTGGAAGGAAGAAGTCAGGATATTGGCTGCAGAATGGGAAAGGCTGCCGCTCTCCTTTGGCGCTGAGGAACAGGCTTGGCTTACGCGCGGGAAGAAGGTCGACATAAGCGGACTGGGAGGGGAGGTCGCGGAGGGCATGATTGCGTATGCGACGAAACAAGCGGATATGTTCCGGAATCTCGCGTCCCGGGCGGAGAGTGCCCGAACAAGTCCGAAGTTGGCACGAGGAAAGCGGGGCGCAAGAGTGGTTAACATGGTCTACCTATCTTACGACGACGACGGGGACATTGTTGACGCAGATGATGAGGACGAGCATGGTAATGCGAGTGACGATGATGAAATGTAATTATATAAGTGTTACAATGATTATTTGCATGTTTTGTCTCAGAAATTGCTTGATTAACTTGCCCCGGCCCTGTTGCCGTGTCCCCGAGACTGATCTAGACGCGGGCCGCAATGAGATCAACTTCTGATGATGTTCGGAGTGTTTCCTGTCCCCTGCCGGGCGCTCCGGGGATTGATCCCCAAACCCCCGACATTTTGCGCAAAAACACTTTTGGGCAACAGCCCAAGTGTTGCGCATAAAATGAGCTGCAGCAGGTGTTCTTCGGCATGTCGAAGATTGATATCTGCTTTGGTGCGGCCAGGTACATAGGCCGCGTCGTCATTGCGAGCCTGTCGAGCAGCAGCTCGATACTCACGGAGGCTCAATCTGAAACTTGAGTGAGTAACAGCGGTTGCGCGGCCACAAATACTCACGTTGTGGTCTCCATCTTCTTGAGAGCGTGAATATATCGGATTTTTGAGGTCTCCGCTTCCGACGAAGTTGACTTGAGGGTAAGCAACCACTCGTGCTCCTCCTTGAGAGAGTTGACAAAGTCTTCCCCGCCCTCGATTCCCTCCTTCGCCATCAACCCTCGAACAGTGGTTTCCGTGTCGATTAGCCGGATCGCTTGCTTGTAATTATCGCATATAAATTTGCCTAACTTGTGTTAGAACCAAGAAGTATGCGAAGATAAATGGGACTTACTGAGACTGGGATATGTCTCGAAGGTGTCGACGTGCTTGAAATATGTCGTGATTTCCTGTTGTCGATGGAATACGCTGGCGTTACGACATGAGCGCCGCAAGACCATTTGAGCGTGAAAAAAATCGCTCCAAGGTCTCCAGATCTTCCAAGCCCAGCCCCTCGATGTACGTCGTCAGGTATTCAAGTTGACATAGGCGATTGTGCGCATGCCCGTGGAAGGAACCGACAAGGCAACAAAGTCGTCGTTCTCCAGCTAGCTGTCCGAGTTTACTGTTGGCAATGGTTTTCTTGAGGTTGCATGCAACGTCGTATCCACCAACGGCGTCTTCTTCTTCAGTATATTCGAGAAAGGCCTCCACGACCGCAAGCGCATATTTTGATCTGAAGAAAGAATGAGCAACCGACAATGAATGAGAGAGATGACAAACTTACAGCTCACCGCTTTGCACCATGTCGGCAGCCACAATTACGAAGCTATGGCGGCAAAGCGCCAGGAAGATTCCCGTCTCGTCAAAAGTCCCCCACATCTTAGCGGTAACATCGTTTTTGATATTTTTCCAACGACTAGCACAAGGATTTTCGTCCCCCTGAAAGTAATTAGACTCATTCTACCGAGCAATGAAAACGGGAATATACCTGACTCTCCGTCGTCAATTTCTTCCCGCCTTTCTCCTTCGCAAAGCTGTCGACATGTTCTCGTGGGATAAAATACCCATCCGACGCATCTCTGTTGTCCGGACGCTCCTTGCTCTGCATCGCGTCGCCATCGTCAGCGTCGCCATCGTCAATCAACTCCTTACGCGCGACTCGTTTCAACGAGTCGTTCCCATCCATCGCCCATAGCATACTGAACTTCAACTTCGGCTCGTCGATGAGCTTATACGTGCACGCTGGGCACACGTTCTTGATGCGCCACGAGTAGTTATTGCGACCTAAGAGAGCGAGGACCTTATTGTCGGCTCGTCGGCGCAATTCCAGAAGCAGGTCGTATGCGATTGAAAATTGCTGCAGTAAATATGGACGATGGGCAATCTGAAATGACTTAGATTGTTGAACGGCATAAACAGATGCCACGTACGCCATGGATGTCACTGAGGGTTCGAACAAACGCGTGAATGGTGAACTGGGGGCAACGCGCATGAGCGACACGGAAGAAGTCCAGCGTCTGGATTGAGATGACGACAGATGGTGCCCATGGCGCGCATGGGATGAGACCCTGTCGAATAAGAGCGGCCGCAATGCCCCCAGCTGTCGGGTCGAGCCAAACATCTTGATCGTACTTTGTTTCTGTTCTACATTTAGCCAGCGCTACAAAACAAGGGGAGAAAGCCTACCAAACATCTCAATGATAGTTACTGGATACATATCGGCGCCATCTTGACCTTGATGCTCGGTCGTCGACGATCTTGGCGATGCAGAATAACGAAGGTATGCTTGAAGAAGATATGGGAGTTGGATAGCAAAAGCATCAACACGTCGTTGTGTGCGCTCTCGCCGTGTTCGCCAGTCACGGCGTTGGGGACTATAGAGAGTAAAAAAGGGAATGCGGGAAGGAAGAGTGACTGACCGCAAATGCAAGCCACCCTTGAGAGTTTCTTCCAAAGCATCAAACTCTCCCCCAGCATGACTCAGTGCAGCCCTTTGAGTTCCATCTAATACACCTCCAAGCGAAATGATATTCTCGCGAGCGAGTAGGTCGGTTGCATCGAATTCGTCATCATTTGCTAAAGTTTGAAGAGCCGCAAGATTATCGAGTGCTGCCCCACTCATAGCTACATGAAAAGTGAGTGAAGTATATGCTCTGCCATACGTGAAACCCCTTACCTTGCTGGTCTTCGTCAACAGCCTGGGCTACAGTCAATCGATGTTTTTGAATTGCTGATGTGGTGAGCAATTTCCGTTGGGTTGGGGTCGTTGTAAACAGGCCCAAGGCCGGGGTGGAGGTTCCCATGACGGTGAGCTTTCTCGACCTGGCTTTTGACTTGTACATCTTTGACCTTTTGAGCAAGGTCAGGACGCACAGTCTGAGCACGCACAGCCATCACACGTCACATCATTCACACTTCTTCTTCTGACTCGACGTCGTCTTTGCGCCTTCACCCAACCGCTCGACCCAGACGCTGCTCTTGCCCACTCTGCAAGGCTGCTACCCGAGCGTCGCCGCATTTGTGGACCGGTGAGCGCTCTGTCCTTGTTGCCGTAGCGGAGCCCACTGACATGCATTAGTTATTCTTCCACGAGCGCTTGCACGAGCGCTCAGAGCGGAAAGGCTCGATCTTACCAGGTGCGTGGACCTTCCTCTTCTCCAGCGTTTCTTCTCAACCAAGGCGTTTGTAGCCCCACTTCTTGCGCGCTATGCCTCTGTGCGCCTTGATGCCTTGCCGACTGCTTTATCGCGACACATACCAACCCTCATCCAACACATACTAAGCATCCCACATCCCACTCATACCCACACCATACTACACCTACCACCAGGCCACGCCCACTCTTTTCTTCACCCCATGGACTACCATACACACGTACACGATTTATCTACCCTCCTCTCGCCAGTTTTACGACATTTATTGCTACTCTATCACAGTCGCCATTACTCTACCAGTAGTCTACATCTCCTACCATTCTTTTACTTATGCTTCATCGATTCCGACTGGCCTGTGGGCAAGTAATCTTGCCCACAGGTACGAATTTTGCTGTATTGTGGTCCTAACCCTAACCCTAAGCCAAAGACTTCGCGAAAAAGGTTCAAGACCAAAAAGTCGGAGCCTTTCATTTTCTTCACCGTGCTGTTTGTGGCTGTTCAAATCTGAAAATATTTTAGGAGGACACTCATATTGACTGCCCGAAGACATCCATGTAATTCCTAAGCCCAAACTGCAGCTATGAATGTGTCTATTGAACCTCTGCAAGCGTTGCTTGAACTTTGAGTTATTGTCACACTTGACTTGCCTTCGATATCTCAACACTCTTCAGACCCAACTACAACTATGGGCCGTCGCCGAAAGTATCATACCCCAGAAGAACAGCTGACTGCCCGTCGCGCCACACTCTTGAAGTATGAGCGCAGTCCAAGGTTTGGCACTCAATCTTCTCCTCGCTTCCAGTTAACTCGGGCCGATTGTTGCAGAGCAAAAACCATCCGAGCCGAGTCGAGGAAGAGACGCAACACGCGGAAAGTAGCCAGGACTCGCATATCTCGTCTTGGGCTCCCCGACTTAGTCGAGGACTGGGCATGCGCCGACCTTCATAAAGAGCGCTACATCTTCTATGATATTCAAGAGCCAAACTTCCAAACTCGAGATTTAGACTACTGGCTTCAGCCGCCGCCATTCAACACTCTTAGATCCACCAATGGCGATAGAGCAGAGCCGGAGGATATCGACCTTTGCTATTTATGCTGCGCGGTCGATGGGCTACTGTATCAACGTGAGGTCCAATTTGAGGCAACGATGCGGGAAGAATATGGAGCCATCAGGCGTCCTAAGGTCATGGATTCTTTGCGGACGACTGTGCAAGAGCTCCTCGCTCAAGAGTGGCCGCAGATGGTGAAATTACAGACTTATTACCCCATTACATCCTCCGAATACTACGTCTATGAAAGACATCTGATATTCTTAGCACGTAGGATATACCGGTTGTATTACCTACGCTTCTTAAACTAGACACAGTGGGCTTGAAGTGGCCATCGTCTGTCTTGCGGAGAAGATCGGAGTCTTCCTCCGACGGTGACTGTGACATTTGTGACTGGATTCTCTTGCCAGCTCAATCGCTCAAGGCGGTCGCTAGCCTTAGGTAGCCTCACTGGGGTCGCTCCACGCGCTGTAGTGAGTGAAAAACAGAAGGTCTCGCGATGTTCTCTGACGATCTAACTGCAGGTGCCGATGGACACGGAAACTGGCTTCTGCAACCCTCCATTTTTTCCAAGCAGCAACTACAAGGACTGCGCTCACCACGACAAGTCGGATAAGCTCCTGTACTGGATGGTCCCTGGAGTTGGAGCCTTTTCACTACAGTATGTCGTTGCAAAGCCGATTTACTTCTGATATTGAGTGACAAAACTCAGAAGTGCGGCTTTGGCTGTCCCAGGTGCGACACCAGCCGGTGTTACTGCACACCTTACTTGAGACGGTTTGAAAGCTCACTGGAGGCTTCTTTGCGCTTTGGAACATGACAAGATCGACGAGATTGCGTTGGGACACCACAAAGACCTTCGAATCCCTCATTTCCTCAGCATCAACTCTTTCCTCAGCTTCGGTTGTTTTGGCTTCTTCAAAGTCAACCACATTGACTGCAAAGAAATCTTCTTTCACTGTCCA